CTGATTAATTAGATGACTCTAGGCCCCTTTGTGACAGATGTTGTGACTTCTGAGTAATATGCCGTTGAATAAAACAGAAGATACGGGAAAAACCTCTGACAGTCTTTATTATTTACTCCTTGCTTGTGCCACAAATGTTGGAAAAGAGATTCGATTTAAGATGGATTCTGGGTTGGCTGTGTGTGAATGTGTGTGTGGGTGGGGTGCGGGGGGAAATTGGGAGGTGTGATTGGAAATGGGGAGGCTGAGGATTTAGGATCGATTCAAAACATCTTGCCATTGCTTTCAGAACACTGTTGTCTGTAGTTATAGAAATGTTAGGCTGTGTTACTTAAGAAAGGCAGCCTTAGAGAAGCTTTTCTTCCTCAAGTGCTAATTTAAGCACAGCGTGGTTTCCCGAGTATAAATACAGATTTAGTGTGTACTCTAGCCTGCTCAATATAGGACCGTGTAGCTGCAAAAGCTACCTTGTCCTCAGTCTCACATTGCTGGGTGCTGTAAAGAACGGTCAGCCTCATAGTTTTGCCTTTTTGTGGGGATAGGGATTGTCTCCTAGGGCCTAATGAGACCATTACATCCTTTGTGATAATAGCCTCAATTCTTTACAGTAAATTGCCCTTTAAGTGTATAAAGTTTCCTCAATCCATGAGGGAGGGTAGGCATAGATTTATTATCCCTGTCTTCATAGTAGGGAAATTGGGGTCAGGAGTAGTAAGCAGAAGCCAGGTGTTATGGTTATTAGAAACAAGGGCTCTGGAGCCAGAGACCTGAGTTCAAATCCAAGCTTCTGGCCTTATACTGATGTGACCTAGGGCAAGTTATTGAATTTATCTGCCCTTTAGTTCTCTTTTCCTAACTTTAGAGGGGTTATTGTGAGATGAAGTAAAATAAGACATGTTAAGCATTTATAGAACTCTTGGCACATAAGAAGCCCTTGGCAAATGTAGAAATTCTCAATAATAATGTATTCAGGGGCACAAAGATAGTAAGCCATGAAGTAGGTCTAGAGTTTGAGTTGGACTCTGAGCCTACACCATATAGCATGTTTCAAGACTTTTCTTGGGATCTTCCCTGTTGGAACAATCTAGAACTACCCCTTTGTGGAAGCTGCAGTTTGAAATGGCCTGATTTGGCCACAGAGGGGGCTATTTGGGGAAGTAAATAATGCAGAATGAGCAAACACATTATGAACCCCTATTAAGGGGCAGGTTGAGAATGCTATCTCATTTTATCAGCACACTCTTGCCCATTACAAAGATGAAGAACAAGAGGCTCAGGACATAAACAATTTGCCCAAGGTGATGTAGCTAGCATGAGGCAGAGGACACCAAGATAGAGCTGTCCAACACCAAAGCCATCTTTTTACTGCTCCATACAAGGACCATGATAAAGGGAGTTTCACTATTTTGGGGAGGCACAAATTGGGACTGGAAAGGTGTGGGCTGTATTTGGTTTGCCTGCTTGCTCAAAAGATGACTTCCTTAGTCTGACTCCCTGGACTATTTCAGGGCTGCCATGTCATTCGCCCACCCTGTCATTCTCCCCCCATCCCCTCTGGAGAGCCCTAAAGAATGTGCAAAGAGAAAAAAGAAATCCAAGAAATCTATTACTGGTACTCACCCTCAATTTGCTATTATGACGTCCATCCTGCAAAGAAATGTTTATACCCTTATAAGGTTCCCAGCATCAATTTAGCTATGTTATCTCTCAGTAGATGACACAAAATGCAATCTCAGTAGCATACGGCAAAGAGAGGTGGGAGAGTTTCTTGGCTGGGGAATGAGAGAGAAATGAAAAAGGGCCTACTATGCTGAGTCACTAAGGCAAAGCAGCTTACTATGGGCCACATTCAGGCCTGAGCCAAGAAGCCACAGCAAGTCAGATATTGGTTGGGGTGGCTGAAATGTTCCTCTTTGGAAACGCCTCTTCTAAGAAGTCACAGCCAGAAAAAAAGGGGAAAAATGCCAACATCCTGAACATTTTAAGTTCATCAGTTATATTTTTACACAGTTAAATCAAGCACAAAAACAGAAAGAAAAAAAAAAGAAAGTCATGTTTCCACCAGCTTTCCTCGAGCCTCCCCCAACACAGCCGGATGCCTTAGCTCACTTCTTTTGTTACCATCCTAATCCAGCTACCTTTACTGTGTGATGCTCAGGGGCCAGGAACTGAGCTCAGAGGTCAAATGCCTTACTCATTGAATCCTTGTAAAAATCCCATGGAGTAAGTACATTTATCACCCTCATTCTAGAGATAAACTGCTGCTCAGAGACATTAATAATTTGGTCAAATTTCAGAACTTGAGAGTCAGAACAAGAATTAGATTTTTTTTTTTCTGACCCCAGAGATGGAACACTTAATTGCTATGTATCACTATCTCATCACTGAAGCTGAAAGAAACAAGAAATCTTAAAGTTCGGAGGTCCCAAACCTCACTATTATCAAAATAACTTGGTGAGCTTACAGCAAAACAAATACCATCCCTCCAACGAAACAAAACAAAAAAGGAAAAGAAGGAAAGGAAGGAAGGAAGAGAGAGAGGAAAGGAGGGAAAGAGGGAGGGAGGGAGCAAGAGAGGGAAGGAGGAGGAAGGAAGGAAGAAAAGACAAAACATCCTATAGATTCCTGGACTGGAACCTTCTTCGCTCTGAAAGATGTTTACACAGAAGCTTTTTGTTGGATTCTGAAAAGTCATATTTGTGCTCCTCCTCTTGTGATTCTAATAAAGATCCAAGTTAGAAATGCATAGATATTATCTAGTTGATTCATTTACAAAGCAGGAGCTTAGAGTAACTGTTTCTTGCCCATGGAAGTACATCAAGTTGGTGTCAGACCAGAACCTGATTCCTGGTCCTCTCTCCATATTACTACATCCATCAATTATTTAATAAACTGGTAATATATGTGATCAAATCATTAATTCATTAATTCTATGAACTTGACATGTTTTCAAGGGAGGGGAACACAATGGGATCTGGCATATTAACAAGAGCCATTTTCATCAGGGAAGTTTCCAGGATTTGGAGAGTTCAGGAAATCACAGATCAAACTCCAGAAATTTTCAGAAAGAGGCAGAATTGCTGATAGCATGGGTATGGGAATGAGAATGCTCTATCAGGAAATGAGAATATCCTCATCGGAGGAGCCCACCGGTTCCCAAAGAGGAAGCACTAGGAGATGAATTCTACAGGAAAATGGAAGTGAGGACTGTGCAGGTGAAGAATCTAGATAGGTATATGGTTTCCTCATCCCTGGAAGCTGGTATTTAGACATGGTGGGTAAGCAGATATTCAACCAGGTTGTACATTTAATCAACTAAGTCATTTAGAATTTACTTGGGTGATTGCAGTAGTGTGTCTAGGGTCCAGCTGTGACAAGTGGTGGGGCAGAGGCTCTATCCAATGTCTAAGCAGATTATGCCTGGGATGTGCCCTTGGCTGTGAATGTGGCCACTTGTTCCTTAACCCTAGCCCCTTGCCTGAACTAGGATCTTTAGCCTTTCCGCTGTTGGGAGCCACTCAATGCTCAACCAACACATTTCTTTGCTGTTTCACTTAGCCAGAGTCTGTTTATATCCTTTGCAATCAAAATCTTGACCTGCGTGCCTCCCTACACTGAAGCTTACTGCCTCCCTGATAAATTTCTCAACAATTTTGTTTGACCTGTTCCAAGCTTTTCTTAAACAACAACCCAATTAAGAGGCTGACTTAAAGCTTCACTTTATTTAATATTTATTTGTGTGGTACCAACACTCCCATTTTTAAAGATGTGAAAACCTAGGCTAATAGAAACAAGTAAGAGCACCTGGGTTCAAATCCTCTATCTGATACTATATTTAGTTCTGTGATTTTGGGAGAATCTTTTGACCCCTATGAATCTTATTTACTTGTCTTTGAAAGGGAGACTGTGACAACCTATCTCCAAGGGTTGTTGAGAGGATGAAATGTAAGGCAAAATATTCCATATGTTATAAAATGTATCCTAAAGTTATTATCATTGTGACCCCATCTCTCAGATAATCTCTTGCATTTTAACTCACATTAAAAGCTGTATTCAAAAAAATTATAGCCCTCTACCAATGACATCCAAACCAAAATGTAAAAGTCAGATAATTTTGACAAAATTGGTTTTCAGCTACAATTGACTGCTTCCTGTACACCTCCCGCCGCCATGAGTGGAGATTGACTCCACAACCTGAACATGTGCCCTGACTGGGAATAAAACCCCAACCCCCTGGTTCATGGGTCAATGCTCAACCACCGAGATACACCTGCTGGTTTGACCTACATTTTGATTCCAGCCTGTCAATGGTTTGTTTTGTTGTCTCTGATGGATTATTTTGTTTGAGTTATGGCTCTTTTATAGGAATAGTGGGATGAAGGCATCTCTTCTGAGGAGGATGAGATAATACTATGTCCCTAAAACATTTTCCCTAAAATATGTCTGGTAATAGAAAAACTACCCCTTAATTGAAGACTCATGAGGCATCCCTATAAAAAATAATAAAGCTATTACTTAAGACACTAATATTCATAAGGGTGCCACCTTCAGGATCTCATCTAACCCTAATTACCTCTCAAAGGTTTCATCTCCTAATACCATTACATTTGGAGATAGGGATTCCACAAATTAATTCTAGGGGGACACATTTAACAGAAATTTAGTCCACAACACTCTCATATACACATTTTTATCTAAGTTCTGAATGAATTGAGTATTTACTATGTAATGTGTTGAACATTTATTATACATCTATCACTGTTCCAGTTGCTTTACATGTTTTTGTTAATCTTGACAACAATCCTATGAGGAATATCTCATTATCACAATTTTACAGGTAAGGAAATTGAGACAGAGTGTTAACTAACTTGCTCCAAATTCACTAAGTCATTACAGGTCAAAGCCATGATTTCAGCTTCATAAGTCTGACCCCAGAATCTGAGTTTTTAACACTATACTCTGCTTCCCACTGCTGAAGAATTCAAATGTAAAAAAAAAAGTATTTATTTTGGGCCCTGGCTGGATAACTCAGTTAGTTAGAACATTGTCTCTATACACCAAGGTTGGAGGTTTGATCTCCAGTCAGTGCACATGTAAGAAACAACCAATAGAACAACAAGTCCATGTTTCTCTCTCTCTCTCTCTCTCTCTCTCTCTCTCTCTCTCTCTCTCTCTCTCTCTCTCTCTCTCTCTCAAAAAAAAAAAAAAAAAATTCAGCCCTACCTAGTTTGGCTCAGTGAATAGAACGTTGGCCTGCAACTGAAGGGTCCCAAGTTCAATTCTGGTCAAGGGCACATGCTTGGGTTGTGGGTTCGATCCCCAGTAGGAGGCATGTAGGAGGCAGCCAATCAATGATTCTCTTTCATCATTGGTGTTTCTATCTCTCTCTCCTTTCTCCTCTGAAATAAATAAAGATACATTTAAAAAAAATCAATACAAAATATTTATCTTATAGAGTTTTAATCTGCTCCTTGCTTATTACACAGTGATTGATCATAGCTGCTTATTCAGAATAGTTCCTCTGCCTTCTTCTCAGCCCCTCAGATATTTGAAGAATCTCTCTTGTCCTCATTCTTTCTTTTCTTTTCCAGATTTAAGAGACCTAGGACTAGACCATTTCTCATATAACAGGATTTCCAGCATCCAGTCTATCACTCTTTAATCTTGACACATTCTGGTTTAATTACCAGTAGATCCCTTTTGAAAAGGGATTCTCTTCATTGGACCTAACACTAAACACATGTGTTTTCTGATTAGCACAGGAGCTAATGGATGATCACATTCCAGAAATTACAAACCAGGGCATTTCCTAATTATTGACCACTAATTATGTGCCAGACTCAGTGGTGGCTATTTTTCACACACCAAAACTTCTCAAAGTTTATGCTGAAGTACCCAGAAGACAAGAAAATTGAGTGTGTATGCCCAAGGAACTGGCGGTATAGACCAAGCAGCAGCTGTTTGTGTCTTGAAAGTGTTTTTTTTTTTTTTTTTTTTTTTTTACCACTTTGAGTTTTCAAAAGGGCAACTGATTTTTCTTTCTACTCAATAATAGATCTCTGTTTGGCTTAATATAAAAATAGGTTGTAAATGACTTGCCATGGAGTAAAATAAAAGCCCTGGGAACATGCCTTGTATTTATGCCATGGCCTCCTATACTCCCAAGCATACTGCCAAATATTCCTAGGAATTTGCCAATCTAATCTGAGAAGTGTAACCATACATTATCTTTAGTACTTACAACAACCAGTCAAGAGAAGTATACTTGGGGACAACTCAAGAAACACTGGCTCAGGTGTAACTTGCCCAGGCTGTCAAAGATAGTAAGCTGAACCTGGCTTTGAATCTAGACCTGTGAAATCATTTCCACTACATTCTGGGTTACTTTTGGAGACTGGATATGAATGCCTATCTCAGAAATTGCATGTGAGTCTCCTGGATAGCAGATGCAGATTCCACTCCAGAACACTTTTGAGCCAGCCTCATTCACAGAAACATCCTTCTCTGTGAGCTCAGCCCAAGTTGATGTGTAGTGCTGCTGGCTATTGGACATCTTGGCTTATTTAGTTTTCATAGCCCTGGGCACAGCCACACCACCCTTGCTCACCAAGGGAGCCCTGGAACTGATTGGTCCCAGTTGCTGGTAGTCAGCTGATCTGTGGATCAGACAACAAAAACAGGTGCAAAGCAAAGCTATAGGCTGGTCCTCCTCATGGCTCACAAGGCTAATGGCATCAAGCCCAGTGGGCCACTCACCTCCCTGCATCCTTTGACAGTACATCAGCTGCACTGGCTTCACCTGGCCATTGGTCTGGACCTCTAGCACTGTGCATTTTCCATGGCACCAATTTGGTCCCTGCTTAATATCTGAGGATGCTGAAGGGTATATCACTAACAAAAGTCTCTTAATAAGGGAACAGGATCAAATAGTGGATTATCATTAGTTCCTGGATTCAGATTTCACTTCATTCTTATAGCTGCCCCTTGGGGAAGTTATCTACCCTTTTTAATCTTCAGTTCTTTCATCTAGATAGCAACTAAGCTACCTAGGGTTCTGGTGAGAACCAAATAATATAATGTGCATATATCAGCTGGTATATAGCAAGTGCTCACTAAACGTTAGCCCTCAGTAACATGTAATTAACAAATCACTTGCCTTTCCCAGGTAGTGTCATGTGAAAATGAGAACTACATTTATGCAGACCCATGTGATTTGGCACATGATGTTACAAAAAAGCACTAGAGGAGAAAGCTCTGTTCTGTGGTTGCCTTGTGTCTAAGCTTGGGAAAATCTTTCTCATCTCTGGCCTCTGTTTCCATCTGCAAAATGAGGGCTCACTGAAGTCCTTCTGCGACTCACGTTTCAGGCCCCCAGTGTTCAGTAACCTAGTGAGCCATTGGAAATGAGATGTGGGGAATTCATGTTAGATATACATGCTGCTCAGTGCTAAAAGTTTTCTAATCTCGTGGCTTCTCTCATGCGCAAACTGCATGGGTGGTGGGGGCCAGGGAGGGCCTGTGCTTGAGGCATAGGAGGCATAAGAACATTCAATTCAAGAACAGACATTCTGGAGACAAAAGTGTGCGTTTTAAATTAGAATTCCAACAGAGAGGTGGAAAATGGAAATGGCTTTATTCTTATGATCATAAAGTTAAAGTGTCACAGAGTTGTGACTAATTCACAGGTAATATTAGCTCCAGAGCTGAGCTTTCAGGAAATAGATTCACATATGTGCTATATTTAATGTCTCCTTTCTTCTCTTGCTGGCCAGAGCCTCAAGTGAGCCTTGCTCATGGACAGGTAGGGAATTTCCTTGAAGTGTTGACTGCTGCTGTAGCTAAATAGTCTGTTTATTCCATGAAAAGAGGTGGAGGAGCCAAGACAAAGGATGCACAATAGGACAGAAACTGAGCTCAGAAGAGTTTAAGACTTTATGGCCAAATTCAGACTCTGAAAGCCTAGGCTTTGGTTGTCACTGGGATTTGTGTTTGGGCACTTATTTTCTATCAGGGAATCTGGCCAGCTTGTTTCCTTTCTGTCATCTGAAATATCGCATGCATCTCCACATTAGGTAAGTGAGCCATCAAATGCTCATCTGGCCAATGAGAAGGGGAGGGACTGAGGATGTATGGGGAGCCAGTGAAACATCACACACTAGGCTTCTTGGTTTACATTTTTTCTCCTCATTAATCTTTGCAGCATCCTATGAGATAGGTGTTGCAGTCTCCACTTCTCAAGTAAGAAAATAAGGTCCAGAGAGATTAAGGAGCTTGCCAAAGTTGAGGCAGTTAAGAAATGACAAACCCAGTATTTGGACGAAGATTCATCTGATTCTAGAATATTTGTGTGTGTTTTTTTCTAGAAAACCATACTTCTAGCTCAGTATCATCTTCTTAGCCAAGAGTCAGGATATATTTAACTTTCAGTTAGTTCCCCACATCTCTTCAATCATTGCTTGTTTTCCAGCTTCATAATCTCCCTTGGTCTATTTTTTTATTTTTATTTCATTTTTTTTTTATTAAGGTCCCTTGGTCTATTTTAGAAGGTAATTATAGAGAATATTAAATTCAACGAGAATAAATTGAACATGTATCATGTGATACTATGCCAGTCCCTAACAGGCTAAAGTTAAGTTTCTACTATTCAAATGCAAAGGGAGAATATAAATTAATTAATATTACATAAAGCATGAAAAAAAATGCCCAAGGTGAAATATTATATTTTACAATGCAAATTCTTAAAGCAGGAACTCCCACTCTAAAGCTCAAGATAGCCATGACTAATTAATTACAGACCTCCTTCTCTGATAGCCTGAATGAAACCTCTAAATTCTTCTCATCTTCCTCAGGAAACCATTACCAATTCATTTGGAACCTCTTTGTCATTTCTGTGTTATAAGGAAGCAATTTATTTGGCTTGAAGAAACAATAAAACTCGCTTAGAAGAGGTTATATTTGAACATGGGCATGAGAAGCAAGCAATATTTAGTGGGTAATGAATACTCATTGGAGGGGAACAATTTGAGCAAATTCATGAAGGACAGGAGGGTGGGAGAAATTTAGGAATGACAGTAATCGTGTGTGTGTGTGTGTGTGTGTGTGTGTGTGTGTGTGTGTGTGTGGTGTATGTTTTGGTGATGGTGGATGGGAATTAGTCCTTGAAAAAAAGGACTGGAAAGTTGGGTTGTATTAGAGCATAGAGGGATGCGGACGAAAAAGGGGCCACATGCTAACTTGACAAGCTCAGGGAAGGCCTGCATGGTGGTCTTGCAAACTCAAAAACCTGAAGTAATCACAAAGGCTGGTCGGAAATTAAAACCTTATCTAAAGGGTGGGGGAAGGTCAATGTGGGGGGAAAAATATATATATGTAATAATTATATGTAATTACATATAATTACATATAATTATTACATATATTCGATATACTATATGTAATAATTATACAATAAAATAAAAAATAAAACTAAAAAAAACACAAATAAAAAAAAGCAGTTATAGTGGGTAATCACATCCTAGTCCAGTATCTTCCCTGACAAAGGTCAATCTTTACTCAGAGCCTATCTCTTTTTGCATCTAAGATAATATACCTGTGAAATGTCAGGGGAGCTTGTAACTTCCCTTTTTCCTAATCACTTAGGGCACAACCAAAAGTGCCTGGGCACCAGGACTAAGACCACAAATTCCTTCATTGTTATTGTTATCATGTTAATTGTTGACTATTAACTATCCTGTACCCACCCTAGTAAAAGAAGTATGAGTCTATAGTTTTACTTTTTATCTAATCCCAGAAGCTTTCCCTCTTGTTTTACTTTCTCCCACTTCCCTAATCTAGCACCAGTGGATCTCATGTAACCCACTTACATCTCCTCCTTTGGTTGTAATGTATAAAATGAGGTGAAAAACTGCCCATTCTTTGGAGCATTATCCCAATACATCGAGATTCAGCTTCCCAGCAATTGTTGACAGTTTGGCTCAAATAAACTTACAAAAATTCTTTACAGGTTTGAATGTTTCTTTACATTAACAGGGCCTTGAAAAATCATGTTAAGATAGCTGTGGTTTCTATCATCTGCCAGGAGGTGCCATGTTCAGTTACGCTTTAGGGTAGCACTTCTGGCCGTCGAGTGAATAAAGGGTGAGAGGGGTAAAGGGAGACCACTT